GAAAGGAAAGAATAAACACAAGGATCTGTCCTTGTTTTCAAGTATATAACTATGATGTTCTATTTTGAGTAGACAGTTAATCGTCAGAAAAATAGCTGTTTGAAAACCTACGCTGAATAACTTCTATACTTAAAGTTGTGAGCGTATCTATTTTCAGAAGAAAATTTCGTGCACTAACTGACTATTTTTCCCGATAATACTCTATAAAATAATTCTAAATTATGTTGTGTAATAGCTATATTGATCTAATGAAGGGAATAGCGAAATTAAGCTATTTCGCCTAGAATCGGTTTTGAAATGCTCTCTAACATTTTAAGAAATATCTTTGGTTAAACGTTGTTCTAAAACTAGTCAGCCTTGTCCAGTTTTTATTGAAAACGAGAAAAAACTAGGCAAAAGAAGATAAAAAGAGAAGAAAATCTTATTTAGAAGAAAAGAGACAAAAAATCTTTTTAATGTCATGACTTCAGCCCTTTGTCTCGGTGAAATAGTACTTAAAATTTCATCATGGTGGTCAATATTTTATTTTAAACTCTACATAAATACGTTGAATGTAGTTCACGACATCGTCACAATGCATGAGTTATGAAATGAATAGACTAAGCGTGCTTACATTTATCTACAATATGCGCTGCTAATTGATACACTATATAATTATCTTAATTATTGACACTATGAGTATCTAATATTAACTTTCATAAATGAATTGCTGCTACTATTGCAAAACTCTCAATAATAGACTATTTAATATGTTCAGAATTTTCATGATTAACTTTCATTTTTCAAAATTCAAAACAAGAAGTCCAGTAATTCAGTGTAGGTTTTCAAACAGCTATTTTTCTGACGATTAACTGTCTACTCAAAATAGAACATCATAGTTATATACTTGAAAACAAGGACAGATCCTTGTGTTTATTCTTTCCTTTCTCTTCTAGCGTGATGCACAAACAAGCATATAGTTGATTTTTAACACGCATGGGTTGGCCTTAATGTATGTAGATGGTGATGATGATCACCCATCAACAAAATATAACGAATTACATAAAAATACACAAAAATTAGAACCCAAATGGCGGTTCAACCTACTGGTACTTTTGGTTGGATATTATTAGGCCTTGTGTTGTTTTCTTATTTAGTTTTGATCGTTTTAAATTTGGTTTCATTTTCAACAAGAGGATGGATTGTACTAACCGATGTTCATATAAAATTTGGAATATGGAGACTATGTGATTTTTCAACGGGAGTTAGTTATTGTAGTGCGTGGAGCAGTGAACATCCAACCGATTTATCACAAAATGTTTTTCCAAAGACACCAGGTATGTGAGAAACCTTCTTATTATGTATCTCTATTCGTACAAAAATTGATTTTGTGTTTTTCGATAGTTTTAGTTTAGAATACTATAATGGAATATTCTTCCGCTTGTATTCTGACAGAATAAAGCTATAAAACAACTTTAAATGTTAGATGACAGCGTAAAAACTTTCATCAAAATTATTTTCTAGGTTATATTCATGCTGCACAAGGTCTAGAAATTGTCTCACTTGTCTTGTACGTCTTTGCTGGTGTAATAATCATTATTGCATGCATCTATTATTCCATTCCACAGTTGTTTCTCGCCGCAGCTGTTCTGTTATTTCTATGCAGTAAGTACTTGGACTGGTGATAGAATGTGATTTAAAAAATTGTCATTTGTTTTGACAAATATACGTTAAATAAATGCATTCCTGTGAATATTTGTTTGATCCTGTACTTACTCTATGATGGGGCAAATTTTACACATTATGCCTATCTTCATCTATGAAAGTAGCGTGTGGTGATATTCTCCAATGTAGAATCTTTTGGCGATAATTAATCATTTTCTTTATAACCTTTTTTATAGTCGCATTTTTATCTGGTGCTCTCGGTGTAGTGGGTAGTCAACCATTTTGGCATCATACGGGTTACTTACACTTTTCGTGGTGGAATGGACTTGTCGGTCTTATCTTCACAATTATTTGTACAATTGCACTCGTATTATTATCATTTGCTATAGTTCCAATTCTGCCTGGTAAAGGCGTAGTAGGAACGGGCGGGTGAGTCTGAAAACTTATGAAAAATTTGTGGATGACTAGGGGTATAATCATATTTTCAGCTTCAATAAGAGGGGTAATAACTTAGGCTATCCTCCAATGGTAGGGGGTGGTTTTCCTCCAGTTTATGATCCTTTCATTTATGGTGGTGGTAATTTAATGTCGTATAATCCTCAGCTATTCGTTCAGTCGCAACCAATGGTGTCACCACAAGATGAACTCCAACAATTGACTTATTTGAACTATCTGTTATCTCAACAACAGTTGCAACAACAACTGCAAGAACAACAACAGTTGCAACAACTGTTGTACCTTCAGCAGTTGCAAGAAGCTTCTTACTTGCCAACATATCAACCACAACTTGCTCTATCTGGATATCAACCACATCAATCATCCTTGATCAGTGAACTAGCTCGACAATACGTTCAAAGTGAAGCAAATTCATCGTTCGATATACAACCATACGGACAAGCACAATATTACGATTACCTTTGAATTTATCAATTATAAAACATAACTTTGAGGTCTTCTACATTTCATATGTATTATAGCGAGCGAGTTCGAGCGTATGAAAAGATGAAAAATTTGCAGTAGTCTATTGATCTATAAAAACTCGAACTTCTACGTGATAAAATATTATATTTTCTCTCTTTCCCATCATAACTCAATTTTTAATTAGTAAACCGCTTTATTTAGTTGGTTTATGTCGCTTTTACTTCGTGAAATAAAATTGTAATCATATGAATGACAATGCACGTCGTAGGTCCTATACTCTCAAACCTAGAATAGCCAAATGTTTAACCCTTACACATTTCTTTTTCGAAAAGTTTAATGTTTAACATTTCTATTACAGAAATCTGAAACATGTTTACATGCCAATTACATCGAAATGTACGTATGATAAACAGTGAGAGTTAGCTTATTCATAAGAGAAAAAACTATAAGAATATTATCAAGAAGTGACATTAACATGTAACTACTTCATTTAGTTCCGAAATGAAATAGTATACAGTAATCGAGTATAGTAGATAGATGATCTTATAGATTTAAATTAGATATGTAATGTTGCTTGACAAGACAATTTTGTCTCCTCAAATCAAATACAGATGGGACTTCTTAGTTTTAATGAGGAAAGAACACGGAAAAAAGCATACTCATTTAAATATTCAACATGTATCAATGAATACGTGAAGGTAGAGTATGTCCAGCTGGGCATTTTTGATGCAACTCTCAATGATTTGATTTATATTATTTGATTATTTTTCCAGCCATATTGTAAATATACTGAGCTATTGTTTTCCTATTATTTTCAGAACGAAAACAAGTGTTTTGTTAACGACGAATTTATTGTACAAAACGAAATGACTCTGATTATGCAAACAGAAGCGCTACACCTAATGTTTGAATTCGATCGATTGTTCAAAAAAAGTGAAAATTGAAGCTCAGAAACGATAATAAGTAGCAACAGCCTTATTTGTAATAAATAAAGATTTCCTTAGATATCTGACAAGTCTAAAACATTTAAACTATTAGATTACTAGAAATTTGCTAGATCTTTACACTAAACAATGTTTCTATTGGTTACAAAGCGCATTTATCTAAATAATTTCGAATATGAAGAGAAGCATACTTACCAAGCGAACAAAAAATTTTAAATTCAGTCAATCCCAAACGAATCTCATCTGTAAAAGGTCGATTCGGTTCACGCTCTGACGTTGACACTTCGGCGATTATACACCATGCCATTTGTGAATTTCTTACTATAAACAATATCGTCTCTGTGAACAAATATATCACGTGACTCACTTTCCTATCTTGTGCTCCTACCCGGCGCTCTCATTGAGAGATGTAATGAAAGCTTGCCTGTTCGACATAAACAGGAGAATTTGAGTCATGTTTAAAATTCGCGGATGCGTCATGTAACGGCACGTGTTAGCTGCTTAACAAGCGACTTTTCTTGTTTCAAATAGATTTTGACGACTACTTAACCCTTTCCCACGGATAAAAATTAGGTACACAGTCTTAGAAATCAGGAGATTTATTTTAATAAGTGGGTAAAAATGCGTAGTGTCTTACAAAAAAATTCATTTCTTATAAACTATTTATAAAATATCATGATATCATGTTGAAATTTTCACACAATGTTCAAAAAACATTCCATTAAAAAATATGGCATACCTTAGTTACAAACAGAAACTCCTAACTCCTGTTGATACTGGAGAAAGCAAGCAATATTATCGTCTTTCAACCTACTAGTAGAAGCCATGTTGCTACCTGTCGCTTGAAGTATGTCACTTGAAAATGTGCTACATATGATACAAGTATACATAGATTGTACTTGTATCTTCTTTTCAATAGCAAAAACATTTTCTAAAGAAAAACATTGTCTTCTTCACTGCTTTAATTTCCACTTATTCGGTTGTCGATATTTTATGATTACAGAAAAAATCACAGAAAA